TTTCTCAAGATCGATCCAGCTTGCAAAACGCGTTCTTCGTCCTGTGCATGTTGAAAAGCACAACCCTCCTCCACCCACCCCCACTCGTGTCCGAGAAAAGCTCCAGCGCCGTCTGCCATTCTCTGGACTTCTCCGCTGCGCTGATTGCGCTGCTGAAGGACACCCTCGGCTGCGGAACCGACCTGTAAAAAAACTTCCAATTTGTGTAGCCTTTGGGTTAGTCAGGATAGACCCGTGTCGAGTCAAGGCACACATCGCGGGCCACTTGGTGGTCAGGAAACTCTGACAAAAGCGCCAGAGCAGCTTGCCATTGGGCTGCTTTCCTTAGGTATGCGCTCCCGCAAACTCTGACATCGGCACGAGGGATGCTGGTACACTCATTGTGATCTGAAGCTCGCAGCCGCATCCAGGGCGCAGTTCAGCATGATTGCCTGAGCTCATAGTTCATCGGACTTCCAAGCGTTTATGGTCCTGCTTGGATCCATAAACTGCCTCCCTTCGATTTGGCCCGGGAGACGTTCGGCAGCACAGCGCCCGCTTGCATGGCATCAAGCATGCGCAGCCCGAGGACCCAGCACCTTCGTCTCTTCGGATAGGCTCGAGGCGGGTGGAGCGATAGTTTTTGAAACCAAGCATGTCTTCGTGAGCTCTGGATGTCTCCCCAACTTCTTGCATTGTGAGCTGCTGGCCACACATTTCCCCCTCAAGCTATCCAGATCCGACATCTGGCGAGTGAAGGTGGATTTCGCGGCACGCTTGAAGCATCTGAACCACTGGACCAGAGATTTATGGGGGTTGGAATAGGTCTGAGGTGTATTTCTGCACAGCACCCGTCTTGAACGCCGGCATCCACCACGCTGCTGTAACCTGGGCAATGGAACTTGGTGCTAAATTAGATGCTGCAAGCTGGGCATCCAGGTGCAAAGAAGCATGACAATAAAAGCATCCCAAAGCAAGCTGTCCTTTTTATTCACTTGCAGCATCCCTTTGCCGTGCACTCGTGAGTAGCAAGACAAGCCCGGGAAATCTGTTGCACCCAAACCAATTCTGCGTTCCACCAGCCAGAAAACTGATGATGTCTGGGACTAGTCCACGCTGCTGCATCTCTGCATTCAGATTCAGGGCAGCCTTCCATGGGTGCTCTAATTGCACATGTTCTTCCTGAATGACGAGGGAAAAGTCAGATGCATCACAATATTAAAGAACATCCATATGCCTGTCACCGTAACATGTAATCACCAGACAGGCAGCACTACAGTCGCTGAATCTCAATATCTATGTCAAAGAAGCTCGCACCACGCCGCCTTATTTTCCGGCCTGCCAGCCAGCACTGGCGCTGCAGGAACTGATCGCGGTGTTGAAACCTCAGTCGATCGATCCGCAACTGATCCGTTCCCTACAACTCGCTGAAATGAAAGACTTTCTCCAGCAACCGACACCAGCAATCTGTACAATCCTTTGTGCTTTTTCTACCCACTGGGCTACGACATGCTCAAGCCGCACTCGCAATGTGATCAAGCGTGCTGCACTCGGTGCCGTCAGTTCTGAAGGCTTCAGCCCTCTGACAACCAAGAATCTGATCCCATCAGCCGTGTCTGCCTCCACTAACCTTGCCAGTCGTGCTTGGACAAGGGAGGCTGTTGCCGTCGCTCGTGGCATCCAGTGTGGCTCTGTATCTGGACATTGATGCACACTGTCCAAGCTTGCAGCAATTGATCCAAGCTAAACCCGGCGGCACGAACTGGGCGGGCCTATCGGCTGTCTTATCATCCCCGCAAACAATTCGTGCCACAGAAACAGCCGAAGCGCAAGCTGCCAGAACCCAACTCCCACAGAGCTGCGGATGGCAGTGTTGTACGTGATCCTGAGGCTCAGAGATCAACTTACTAGACAAGGTACCCTTCTGTACTTCGACATTCTTCATTCCTTCAGCCGACACAGGAACAGCATCACATGGAAATGGAAAGGACGATGCCAAAGAAATGCTTGGCCGAGGTGCACATTCGGTAGGATGCTGTGAGCGCGCACGCCTGTAGAAACGCTAAGCCGCTAAGCATGGAACAACACCATCTAACGGCTGCCTGCCTCGGAGGAGAGACGAGGCAAGTTGCCACTGCTCAGACCGGGCACATGCTGCCAGTGTGCCTCCAGCTATGTCGTTTCTTGGCACAAGGAAGACTTCGTACTGTGGAGGAGTAGTCGTCGTGTCTACACACACAAGGCCTCCCCCACCAAAGATCTGGCCTAGGAGCTGTTGTATGAGATCACATTGGGTCGCAAGACGCAGCTTGGCATGTCGGCCAGCAGAGTCATAGCATCGCGCCACTGACTGCCTGACGACACGGGCGATCAGTGGAGACGGAGACGGGGAGGGGAGTGGAAGACCTCGTGCAAGTGAAGCAATATCACGGGTGCGCTCGATGACGGCCGATAGCTCCTTCCTTGGACTTGCAAAGCGATGACGCGCTGTCTGGGATTCCGGGTTCTAGGATTCGTCGCAGCTGTCAGCGTGAACATGACTGACACCAAGGTGCTACAAGTGAAACTGCCGAAAAACCCTGCCCATACCAATCACATCTCAAGCTTCTGATCATGCAACCTCACCGCGTGCAAAACAAGCTCAGGTTTGGGCCTACTGGCCCCAGTCTGCGAGAAATCCGTTTCCCAAAGTGCAGGCACCTTGCAGGCATCTTCTGCCAACATTGCTGCGGCATTATTTGTCGGACATGCCTGCACTGCCGGAGACATGGCGGAAGGCACAACGGCACCCTTCAGTGCCCTACAGCTCTTGCGAAGAAGGTGCAGCCAATGCTTCGTGATGCTTTGTGTTTACATCGGATCGGGGGTACTCTACTTGACATTGTGCAAGAACGGTCACCCACGGAAGACGAGCCAATGGAAGATCTAGAATCTTCACCGACTCGAACGCAGCACGAGTGATATAGAGCCGAGGCATCTTTGGTCGCAGTCCGGTGTTGGGTTGCTACAGTAGTCGAGCACGGGCAGGGCCGCCCTCTCAGTATGCACCTGCCCACGAAAGAGCCGCGAGCCAAGAGTACTGGGGAGTCTGAGATCTTAGGATATCGAAGTCGCCGCAACCGTGTCTGTCGAGTCCAGTCGAGTGGAGTGAATCTTCTTTTGGTCCGTGGCCGGCGAGACTGATGCGTGACAGGCAAGTTTAAACTTAGGAACTTATAATCCCTGTGCCACCCTGCATGATTCAGACGAGTCTTGGAATGCTGATTCGCACACCATCAGAATATAGCCCAAACAGTCCGTGACCCTGCAACCCACCATGTTCTGGTTGACTGAGGCTGTACACTATAGCCTTCCTCAACTCAAGTGCACCAAATTCGTCGAGGCGAGCAGCCTCAGCAAATAAGTCTCTGGAGTAACAGTGTGACCAGCACTGCGAATCACAAGAGCCACATGCGCAGAGCTGAAAACTTATATGCTCAACTGATCACACACACATTGAATATCGTCTACACAAAGGGGAGGGAGCGAGAGAGCGAGAGAGGGAGAGAGAGCGAGAGAGGGAGCGAGGGCGGGAGGGAGGGAGGGGGAGGGAGGAGCAGCATGTGCATACTGCCTGCATGGGTATGTAGATATGCATGCAGACGCGTGCAGTCTCAAATGAAGCTATAGGTGCTGGGGCACATCCTGCAGAAAACGGCAGTGATGGCCACAACTCGCTATGTTCACCATTTTATTTTCGCCTTTGCGGGGCGCCTTCGGCGCCTGTGCTTCGAGCAAGGCAAGCAGCTTAGCTGGCAGATGCATGAAGGGCGCGAGCGATACTTTGCATCGCAGGCATGATCCTTCGTCTCCACCCAATAAGCCAATAAGTTCAAAATAGTTGTTGATTCCCGTGCGTCCTCACGGGAAATACTGTGCGTCGCATAAGACCCAAAGTTCTACTTGCAAACCTGATTCACCAGGTGCTGCTCACTTCGATCGTGTGAGATCAGGTCCTCAGCCATACACGCTGAGACGCTTTGGGAAGTTTGCACACGACCAGTCAATACCTCTGCTCATCTCAGCGCCAAGTGTCATTCTGCATGAGGAACCCTGAAACCCGGTGAACGAAGGATGGGCAGGTGTGGTTCAGCTCGTGCATGCTGACCCTGGCAATCAGTCCAGCTGAATGCAGAGCAAGGGCGAAGACCAAAATGCATCTCGAGCTTAGCTTTTGGATGCTGCGTTGGCGACACGACACTACTGCTGACATGGTCACAGACAGGCTGCAGCTTACAGCCAGCAACTGCGGTCGCAGCCCTCGGTCGCCTCAACACAGGAACATGCATCTTCTCCACTTGCTTCAGATCTCGCTCGATGTGCCTGCCATTGCAATGGGAGGTTACCCGCATGTTGTGCACACAGGGATTCTGTAAGGCTTGTTTGTCTAATGAGCTACAGGAAGAAAGTCCGAAACATAATGAGTTAAGCTAACCGAACCAGCTATCTCAAGCTTCGAACCAGAGTCCTTTTGTTCATGGTGAAGAGTCGTTTGAACAGCCTCATGCTCAACCTGGTGCAGATGCCTTTGGAAGCCGCGCTGGCTGTTTTTTGACTCCGCCAAGCCGTGCCTTGTGTGCAACAATCAGCTGGCTCGTTTATTACATAAATTGCGTTGAGTCTACACAGTTGGAGGGAAAGAAAGACAGGGTTTCCAACGAGGGCCGTGATTCTTGAAGAGCCATGGAAATCTGTGGAACATCGATTCTGCACGATCTGTCTGGTCCTGAGCGCACTTGCATGCGGAATTCATGATTGCACCCACTGGACATCGTCCCGAACAGGAGGTTCAACACTTCCGGTGACGAGACTTGCAAACATCCAGGGCCGGTCGTCCCTTCATGCTCACAGACATAACTCGCCGAGGTCATGCATTTGACAATAAGGTTTGGCTGGCCAAGCTAGCACAGACTGCTCCCAGACGCCCACGAGCAATTGAGACGGGGCGCGCGCTCATACTTGATCACCGCTTTCCTCGAGACACCAGCTTCTCGCAGCATCCGATAGAGCCTGCGCTGCGTGACGAGGCTGCACTTCTGGCTTGAAGCTTGTTGTATCTCCTGCACCGATCACGCAGGAGAGCTCCTACCGTCCTACCGTCTTTCCTCAAGATCGCACTGGTCGTTGAGCTTGCCTCTATGACATGACGATCCAAACTCACGAGAAAGCACGCAGTGCTATTTTCATGCGCCCTTGTTCCTTCACCCCGCATCTACCTGCTGAGACATGAGTCACAAAAGGAAGAACCCTGTCTCGCTCGAGGTGCTTCGTAAGGTCGTAGATCTTGTCGGTGGGCTGTCTTTCCTCAAACCCTGTCGGAAAGCCTCGGGTACGGTAGCAGCTTTTTGCAACGGGCGTCTGCAAGGGGTCAAAGCCTTCAAGCACAAAGGCCACACAGAATAGTATGTAGCAGCCAGGGAGCTGTACTCTTGCTGCAGCAAGGTGTTCTGCCTGTAGGTTTGCAAGGCCCTCTTGAAGCCACGCCGGTCCTCCGCCTAGGAAAGGAAAAAAGGAAGAGCAAGGAAGAGGGAGAAGCCGAAGGCTCTCGATCTCTCGCAAAGCGGCTCGTGGATCTGAGCTTCAAAGCGGCAGCGCTGAGCGCACAAGCTTTTTCAAGCAGAAGTTGCGTCCGAGGCTCGAGGAAGGCCGTCAGGAGTTGGCCTGCGCATACGATTGCAGCATGCTGTCCTCCTACTGTAAGAACCTCCTCACGAATTGATACGGAACTTCTTTTTGGCACCCGCTGCTCTCTGCCTGTCTCCTCCCCGTTGAACATGAAGACCTGGCTCTCGTTGGTCTCCTGGGTTCCGTTCATGACTGCGAAGGAGTGCGCCCTGTGCTCGCTGATCCTCAACAGAGTTGTTCCACTTTATGCTAAGCGAGCGCGAAGCCATCAAGGCCAGGTGAAGTTCAGGACCATGGGGACCGTTCATGCCAGTCCCACCGAGCGACCTCATCTGATCGTCATGTCCGCCGGCGATGCCTTGTAACAGGGTCTGCAAAGCAATGTGCGAGTGTCAAGCCCGTCAAGCGTGACGGATTCTGCCGTGGTTCTTCAGCGATTCAAGATTCAACCCAGGACGGAGGGTGCTGTGATGGTGAGGTGCCACTGCTGTTTTGCTGTTGCTGCTTAGAGCGATGCTCTCGACAGACAACCAATGCCGTCCGGGCGATCAGACGCTGAGTTCCGGGGCTCCCTCGAATGATGCACCCCTTCTGGAGTTTGGGAGCTTGAGTCAATCAAGCTTCCAGGAATAATGGACGATTCAACTCTGCACACCAATTGCTGGTCCCGCCACCGAGGATCTGATGAATAGCAGGTGTCAGCGAATGATGCCCAGATCCTCGCACCAAGAAACCACGGCCATACACAGAAATACACAGAATCACCAGGACGGCTGTGTCCCTCAAGAATTTGTTCTGACAGTCACTATGACAAGATCGTACCAGCAACTAAGTCGTCCGACGGTCGTCCGGCCTTCGTCGCAGTCGCAGTTGTGTCCACGAAGCTCGCGAAGACCCTGAAACCTGATCCCTCAAGCCCAGGCATGCCAAGCCAGTTGCTTTTACAACTATGGAAGCTCGCTCGCAAGTCCTTCATTGCCAATGAGGGACAGGAACCGAATACTACTTGCCTCAGGCTCCGTCATTGCAAAAGCACAAGTTTATGCGGAGTAGCTGTCTTGCACTGGAGGCATTCTGCTTACACGGCCTGCGCAGCAACCTGCCTGCTACAAGGGAAATCGTCATCAGCATATTATCAAAGCAACATGCGGCAATATGCTGGTGTGCATGCAAAGTCTGGCCCTTATCCGAACGTACGAACCAGACTATTTTCGTGAAGCTGGTTGGCACGAGCAAAAGTGCCAGTGGACAAGGCAAGGCACATGTTGATGCGGACGTGCGCCGCGTGCTCCTCGCAGGTTCAACTGGCAAAGCTTTCTAAAAGCCCCTGCACATGACCCAAGCCACACGATAGGACAGTCATGATTTGCATCCGATCCATGCAAGCCTTCTTTGTGAATCAGTGCGCGGCTAGGCCCGCAAGCCAGGAAGACTGCCAAGGAGAGCAGCTTCGACATGGTCTACGAAGTGACACACAGGACATGTAGTAGTATAGATACAGTTCGCTGTCAGATCTCGAGCCAAGATGGTCGGAGTAACACGCTACACATTCGCCGTCTTTCATCTAACACGGCCAAAGGCATTCCACCATTGCTCCTCGTGGCATGCTCGACATAACATGAACCACACCCTTGCAGGCGTGGCCTCAATTGGATCAAGAGAAGATCCCCGAAGAGACATGCAACCTGGCATGCAGTCCAGAACACTTGGAAGATGAAGCGCTGTAATTCGCCTCGGCCCCGGCCGAAGCGGTCAGAGGTTAATCCCTGCTTCCCCCACCTCTTGGTCCCTTCCCCAGTGACCCAACCCCACCATTTTTGCGTTGGCAACGCCGCCTGCGTTCAGAGATTCTGCTAGCAGAGACTAGGCTTGCCGGGAGCACCCCTCCCGATTTGGGCGTTTTTTGCTGTGCAAACCTTAACCCACCTCCCCGCCCCCCACCGTCTCTTGTATTTTGTTGCAAATCTTGATTCCCCCGTACATTTCCCAACGCTTAAACCCCCGTACATTTGAACACGCTTCAAAATCCGGTCATAACGTCTATGCGCTATTGCATGCAGGGAATGTGCCACGTTTAGCGTGGGATTATTGCTCAGAGCCTCAGCATGAACACAAATACTCAAATCAAAAAGAGCATTCTGAAGCAAATGCAGTCATTCACTCACGACCTCGCCTGTGTGACCTACCTCTTGTTCTCCGAAACAATGCACCTGCTTCGAGCACAGGCGGGCCGAGCTGGACGGCGCGAAGCCTTCAAAATTACTATGCCTGGTCAGATGCTTAGTTGCGATGCTGTGGCGCAGGTGCCGGTGCAACAATGCTTCCCACTTATTAACCACTCGGCGGTCCGAGTGATCCCACCGGACAGGCACTCAGATCTCAGTCTGACAGAGTGACGGTCACTCCTCAACAAACGGAGCCTTGGTATGCCCTTCTCCGGGTCTGTTGCCATGTGTCGGCCCTGGGCTGCACATTCACAGAGAGCGACTCCGAATCGTCCCCGGGTCCCCTGGCCTGCCGTTGATGGGGAGGAGTCACTGCCCTGCTCTCCACGTCCCAAGCGAGTATGTTCCTTGGCACAGAAGCTTCGAACAGCTGCGTGGAGACCAGACCGATGTCCGGTCCGAATTTTTTGACAACCGAGTGTGTCAACTTCAGTTGTCGCACCTGAACGGGCGCCTGTATAGCGGAAATGCGCCACATGAGGACGCAGCCCATGACCGTTTCGGTTGCGGTATGAGAAGACCTCTCTCTGCTGATCCGCCTCAAGAGCGCAAGAAGCTTTCACATGCCTGGCCTAGCTCAGCAAGTCCGTTGAGTTAATACTTTCGGGACTCCTTCAGGTCCATGCCGAGGGCATGATACACAACGTGAAGGAGATAGAAACGATTATATGAAACCGCTGCACTTACCTAGCCCACCTCTTCATAGTTCAGATTTGACACGCAAAGCGGTTGGCCAGCCTCGCTTGTAATGCTTTGCGCAGCAGAGACGACACCTGGGCTGGTTTTGCTTTCGCTTTCCGCGCCTGCGTGTCTGTCTGTTACTGACGGAAGAAGTCCGCAACGCGGAGCGACTATCGTACACGATACCACGGTTCAGAGATCTGATTGCCTGAAACATGATCGAGAAACGCTACTGTACTGACCTCGAGCCTTGCGACACAGCACTGCCTTCTGGCCCTCACATGCTCTCAACTAGCGAAAAATCAGGACAACTGAGCAGCAGACAAGATTACTCCGACTGTGGATTGCTTCTGAGGCTGGAGCTGACAGAATCTGGATCCGGTCGAGAGTGAGGCCTGTGTTGAACATGCTCGGTCTCACTTTCTGCGTGCTACACTGCTACACGCTCTCAGTGCGAGAGCTTTTCATTGCATGGCCCATGCCCACCGCACGTCCCATGAGGCCAAAGCCGATTCAGAGGATACGCGATCCTTCGGCCAAAGATGTCAACCTCGCAACTGTCCGCAGGTCAACTTGCTTGCCACTGTCTTCGCCAACGGGCCTGCTGCTCCGGCGTAGAAGGACCAGGGCTTTCTGCTGCGTGCCCCTGACGGCCCTGTCAAGGCTACTGCGGGGGCACTCACCATTCCTACCGCAACCACCATGAACCCCAAGTAACGATGTTCCTGCCCCAGTTCACTTCGGCCGATTCACGTTTGGTCGGGCCTCCTGTTGAGCGATCGACTCTTCAGGCAGCCGGCCTGGCAGAACAGAGCACCGCTGGCGGGTACCCTCGCGAGCTTAAGCAATGCCCAGGTCAGGAATGCCAAGCGTCCGTGGAGGGTCATTTGGCCTCTCGCTGGTCCACGGTGAGGAAACAGGGGAGCCCTCCAACCCAGGTTCTGTCCGACACACAGCTACAGGCCACGTGCCGCATCAATGGCTTGGGCAGGTCGACAGCACGGACTTTGCAAGAGAACTGGGCCTATCACTATACGGGTTCAACCTGCATCAATCTGCAAAGTCATGGATTCAACTTCAACTGCCGTTGCGGCATCAGGAAGCCCGAAGATTCAAGAAACGGTTCCTTGAAACCCAAGGTCAAGCAGTCCGCAAGAAATCATTTCTGAGGCGGGAGCAGCACAGCATTGTCAGTTCGGGTGTTGAAGTGCCTTCACCGACGATCGGGTTGGGGCCAGAAAATGCTTTCTGGTGCCTGGCCTGCGTCCGCCGCGCGAGAAACCATCCAAGCCTTGTCAGTCAGGGTAGAACGCAAGGGATCAAGACTCCGCAGCCAGCGTCGTGAAGTGTGGACTTGCGCTTTGCAGCCATGCCTAGCGAGGGGCGGCCAGCTGCAGACGCCTCACCAACATGCCACCCACTTTGTTGAACCCCTGGAGCCCGGACTCCTGGAATCTGCTGGATGCCAGGAAAACTGTGCTGTCATGACAGATCTGCCCCAGCTAAGAAGTGCCTCCGAGCCAGCTTCGCTTGGTTCGTAAGCTGACCTGTCTCGCGTGAGCTAGCGTGGCCCGGTGTAGTTTCTCCGAGTGAGGCTCGTGCCCTGCATAGGAGCTGGCGGCATAGACGCAGGAGCCCCCTGTCTGCCTGCAGCAATGTCCGTCAAAATCATGGACCACCTTCCTAGGGGTTTCAAGACCTTAGAACGACGATGCCTATCAGCAAGCGAGAATCTCACAAAAAGTCCGCTGAGCCTGGCGGCCGTGTTGTGTGCATCGCGTCGGAGTGCTGACATCAACTGGCGGCGTATTGGCCAGCACGAAAGGGCTGACATGCTGGACATGCGGTGTGTTGCAGCAAGTGCGTCAGGCAAGGCAACAAAGCAAGCCTGTTGGAACCTTCCCCCAGCTAGACCTCCAGCGAAGATGTTCTGGCCGGGAGCACCGAAGCAAACTTCATGGTACGTGCGGACAGATGCTTGTTGATCAATCGAAGGAACCTCGGTCCGAGATTTCGCTCTGGAGGATTTTGGTCGGAACTGCTGATCCGAAGTTGCTTGACCCCAACACTTCAGGGGCAGGGTGACACCCAGGAAAGTTATCACAGGCCACCGTGACACCTTGGCCTTTGGTCACATCAGCCACAACGAAAAGGGTCTTGGGGACGTTCACGTTTGTCTGTGGGCTCCTTTTTGGTTTGCACGCTTTTCTTGAACTCAAGAACTAGCGGTCTGAGTCGGAAACTCGCTCTCGGGATGACTGATATCCACGCCTCCCGTCTGGGCTCTCAACATGCTCTAGGAGCAGCAATGTGACACACAGGATTTATCCTGCCTGTGCCCAGTAACCGCTGCATATGCCCCTGCCGACAGGCAAGGTCTCATGCAGAGTGAAGTGCACTCGCCTGGTCCTGTCACCTGGAAATGCTACACTTCTCGCGTCAGGATCGAGGAGATAAGCCTAAGCAGCCTGTTTCCAACTCCTTGGCTGGCAGTTAGAAAATTGAGGAAAAAAACATGTCAGCTTGCAACTCAGGTGCTCCTCTACGCATGCAAGATTGCATCATCCCATGCTGTGCATTTCGACAAGCTTCCCGTTTGATCAATAAAAACGTAGGAGTTGCGGCGTAGCTTCCTTCGGTCAGAACCTGAAACAAGTCTTCAACGCAGAGTAAAACACAGGCATACCCAACCTGGAAGGCCGGATTTGTCAACTGGTTGCAATCCTCGGCAGATGGGCGGCGGGGTCTCTTCCACGTGTCAATCGTGACGTGAGTGGGACATTAGAGCAGCAACAGAACATTGTTCACAAGCATGCAGGATGACAACACAGGCAGAAGCAATTCAAGAAGCTTGAAGAGTTTGCAGAATCGCTTGAAGCCCGATGCTTCATGATGCCTTTTCGAAACTAGCCTCGCTCTGATTCCGGACCGGGGGCTAAGGCAGCAGCCCACTGGAAGAAGAGACGTTGAATTGAGGGTCCGCACCTGCATCGAGGCATCCTTTCGTCTGCCACGAAGGTTGCTTCGCAAACATGAGACTGCAAGGGATCGCAAGACTGCAGCGACCCCAGACCCCTAGAGCCCTGCAGCCCTGGTGCGGGCTTTTTCAAGCAGTACGCCTTCAAGCACATATATTTGCAACGTGGGTGATTGCAAATAATGTTGATGTTAAGTTGATATTAGATTTGCGGATATGCCTGTGATCAAATCATGAGCGACTTGATTGCGATATTGACTGACAATCAAACTTTTCGTTGACTGGAATACATCAACGAATGAAGTGTCGCTGATATTCCGGCTCATACTCACTGACAGCCTTGAATTGAAACAAACAGCTACATTAATTAAAACATCAATGTCACAAAGATGTGAAGCTGAAACGGCGGCTACCAACGAGGATCAGCGAAGTGTTTATCCGGTGGTGCGCAAACCAGCTCCCTGGAAACCCAGACAAAGGGTCATGATTAAGGATGCAAATGGAAAGCTGCTTACGAAGCAGCAAGAACATGGTGACGGCGCCCGTACGGGACCGTGGGTTTGGAGACATCTTCTTGTTAGTGCAAGACGGCGGCGTGTCCAAAATTCGAGCGGAACACGCGTTTTGTATGGGTCATGCACTTTCGCAGGTACCGAAAACACTAGAAGCTTGCAAACTTTTCGTGAAAATGCATTTTCGCGAGGCGTTTGTTCGAATTTTGAGTTACACCGTCGAGGATGCTGAGCACCAGCTTCCGGTGATCAAAATAGGAAAGGCAGTACCGCCAGATACGGCTCCGGCCGCCACCTGGCGGATCGGAGCGGAGCGCACCGCTCCCATCCTCATTGAGGCTTTCATGCAGTACACAGAGCAACCGGGCGTAACTTTTGGACCCCCCTTTCATAGTTCGGCTCGCGAAACCGAACAAGATCCCCAACAAACCGTCTGCTCTTAGGCCAATAGGCTTGGTGTGTCCGGAATCGACGGTTTTAGCCGGCATCCCGAAGGACGGGACGGGCCGGACGTGCCTTCATCAACTCATACGGCCCCGGCTGGAATGGGAGCCACAATTTGCTTGCCAAGCAATCATCTTCGTTGCGAGACGGGTCCAACTGGATACTTGCACGCCATGCGTGCCACGCGTGCCTCTGCCAAAATGCCTCGTCGACAACCTGTCACCGATCCAAGCGGTTGGGACTGCAACTCTGAGTCTGCCTCGCCTCTGCAGGGGGATCGGTTTGCAAGGCCTCGCAAGATTCGTCTCACACTGAAGTGGCTCCCTTGCTTTAAGGCTTCTTTCCGCAGCCCGAAGTCTCAGAGCAGGCTTCAAGTCGTCTGCTGTCAAGGCTGGTTATGCTGTGCAGGGGCCTCCTTGGTCGGATTTGCTGCCCTTGGCGAAGGCTGCATCGCCGCGGGCCTGCTGTGATCATGAATGGCTGGTGTGGCGGCTGCAAGATAGAACACCTTGACCCTTGCTAAAACGCTTGGGGCAAACTTGGAAAACTGACTAGCTCGAAGCAGCCGCGGCCGGTGCAATGAAGGACTTCATAAACGAGGGCTTAAGCATGAGTCGAACAAGAGCCGAAGACACTTTACCGAGCTTTACCTCCTGATGGTATGCTGATGAATATCCTTACCCGTGCTGCTTGCACTGCGCTTCAGCGACGGCCCTCCGGCAAAGCACACTTGACAGCTTGCGGGCTTGGCAGTTCGGACTTCGGAGTACAAAGACAAACAGAACAAACATGACGAGTGTGAGGATTGCTCTTCAGTTCAAAGTTGATTGACAATGGCAGTTACTGGTACTTACATGCCGATGTCCCGACGGGCTGCGACAAGACACGTTGGAAGCTTACGCGGTGACAACAAAAAAGCCCATGCATGCGGTGCTTGCTTTCAAGACGACTTCTAGAGCCAATGCAGGAACCTGATTCAGAAGCCCTTGATTCTAAGTCCACAGAAGATCGCAGAAGCAGCTGCAGCACGAAACTTGCCCAAGCCGCGACAGGCTCGCCTCTCATCGGTCGGACTCATACCCGAAGGCGATGTGGGAAATGGGAAGTGCGAGCTTCCTGCATGGCATTTCTCAGCTGAAGCCTTTAGCCCTACAAATGTTGCTGTGACAGAACATACGCTGGCATTTTTGTCAGGCACTCGCCATTTACAACTTCAAGGTCCACTTTGCTCTCGCCCGAACGAGCTCGAAAAGACACCGCACCTCCTGGTCTTGGTCCAGCATCGATTGCAGCCGTGTTCTGCAATTCAGGGTCAGCTGGGATCAGCTTTACTCTGGCAGAAGGGTCTTAATTAATTCACGGCACCTCTAGCAATGGATACGCGAAAATGCTCTCCATGAACACCGACATGGACTGAATGAAAGCGTACCAAGGTTGCGGTCCAAGACCGAAACAGGCTTCTGGAGGGCAGCATAAAGAAACGACAGGACCTGCAAGGGGTCCGGATAGCCAGATGATGTCTGCGCAGCATCCTCCACCATGTCTCCTTCGACTCACAAGCCGGGGCCGAAGATTTGAGCTGCGGGATGCACGATCTGAGCACCCGAGCTTCGATCTGAGGATGTCATAACTAGAGAAAACTGCGAGACGCAGAGCGACGACCGCACGAGGCAAGAATCGAAGAGAAGAGCGAAGAGAGCGAGTTTCTCTTTTGCACCTCTGGCGACGCCGTAGCCCGATGCAGCTGCTGGGGCTGGCGCTTGCCTGCGGGTGGAAAAGCTGACACGGAAGTTCGATTCTCTCGAAGCAAGAGCATTGTTGCTCGAACCGAGAAAAGTCGCCGTGCTGCCTTGCGTTCCAGACCCCCTCTGACTCTCTCGGCCCCCCACGTCTCGTTGTCTTCTGGCGCCTGCAAAGCCTGGCGACAAACCAGTCCAATCACAAAGTGCCACCGCCAGGTGTCCGACTAGCTTGCACATTGATTTTCTGCGCCTCCATGAGCGGAGCATAAGTGAAGCAGCCCTTGCCTTGGGTGATGGGCACAACGGACTTGTGTCAAGCAAGAGAACCAAATTAGCAGAAAAACCTGCGCCCTGCTGAAAGACACCACCAACAGCCTACCACTAGCTGATCCAAGAAACGATTGTTCCTACACTCACCCCTTCCCGGCAAGTCTTGTCGGAAGTGCTGTTCAGGGAATGTCTATGGAAAGGGAAAGGCTAGGCACGTCTTTATCAACCCAAGCAAAAAAGGTTACGGCAGCTAACCTGCCAAAACGGCTAAAGCAGAAGCATCTGATGTCTTTGCCGCCCCACGAATCATTACAAACGTACGACCCAAGTCGAATCTAAATAAAACTCCAAATAAAATGGCGAACAAGCAGGTCCGATACTTGCAACTACTTAGTGACCTGCTGTGCTTTGCCAGCCATCCCGGCTCTCTCAGCTTTTCCGGCTCACGACAAGCTGCTGAAGGGCTCCACAAAGTCCATCAGAAAGCAAGCAGCATCGCTGTCCTCCTGCACAAGGGAAACCTTGCTTTAAGCGACTTGGGCTGGTCTCATCCTAGTGGTACGGATCTTTGCGATCACGAGCCGACCACAGCAGACCATCGTACTGCAGGGCAGTCCGACAGCTCCAGCTCTTGAAGAAGCTCTCGCCTCATAGCCACAGACATGGACATGGAAAGAAGGTAACCACATCAAGAGAGCGTCGGCTGAACCACGTGTTGGAAAGTCTACGCGGTCCTCTTGCTTGTCAATGCCTCGACTGCTACATGTTGGCTCCAGCTAGACCTAGACGATTACCTGGATGTCAAGGCGTCCAGTTTCCTGCAAGCTCACAGCGCTCAGAGTTTGCCCTGCATGTCCTGACTGAACTCCAAAACATCGCTGTCATGCTGGGCTACTCGGAAAGGCCACTGCGCTTCGTTTCCAGAAACAACAACCCATGAAAGCAGACTGTGCAGGGATATGAGTGAAAATCGGTAAGAGCCCTGCCAGCAGCCAACTGGCAGAACAAAGTCCCCCTGCAAACAGTCTCGTGGGACTCGTGGGACACATTAGATGAAGAGCTTGGCCGTATAATGCCGAGCAGGTGGTCTCCATAATGCCGAGCAGGTGGTTCCCAATACAGCAATGGCCCAGGAACACGGTGTGGGTGGGCGAGTATGGGAGAAAAAACAAATCGTTTCTGGCGCATGCTTTCAAGTTCCCGTGTCGCATCCGAGTCACAAAATACGGCGGGCATCTCAAGCACATGCGTGAAGCTTGCTCGAATTTGCATTAGTGCCGGTCATCTCGCTCGGTATGACGACATCCGTCTCTTCTGCCCATGGGATAAGCAAACGTGAATCCCGGCTATAGCGCGCCTGGAAAGTCCCTCCGCGCACATACTAAGTACTAGTGTTGAATTGGGCTTGGAAGGGGCTCTACCTCGAACCGCCCTGCCGTGATCACCACCGAGCTCTCAAACTACTAAGCTGAGCTCTCAAGATGCCGAACTCTTCTGTTTCCCGGCCTTTTCGTCCATGGACCTAGGCCATCCAAGAAGAATGCGCATCTACTGTTGCCTGGGCCTAAGCGGTTGCGACAGGTGCAGATGACTCTAGTCCACGGCCAAAGACGGAGAGGAGGATCACGTTACGCGGACAACTAAAATGCACGACACACCGCAGCGAGGCAGCATCAACCCTTGCCACACTTCGTCCTAGTGTCTCGGCCCCGTGACTGCAGCACGCGATATGCTGCCAGCAAGAAGTCCTGGTGCCCAAACTCAGGGATGCATGAGAACGCGCGGGGCTGAGCAGCAGCAACGTACAACTCTCCTCCACTACAGGACTCTTGACGACATTGCCGAGTTCAAGTGGCAGTCAGAAGTTCATGCTTCGAGTCGCAGCCCAGAGACTTAAGTCTTGGGGGGGACTCCAGCCTCTGTTCTAGAGTCACCAGAGTCACCACATGCCAATGCGAGAATGACGGCCCTGCACCTCCTCCGCAGGAGTCATCGCAGCTGCAGCCCCACCGCAGATAGTGCGTCGACTGAGGACTTTCGATTCTTCTGACAAAGCCTCTGAATTTTCGATCCATTAGCAAGTCGTCAATCCGATGCCTTGCTACCCTAGTTAGGTCTAGTTGGCCCAAGTTCTCTCGTGGAGCATGTCAGTGCCCTTCTTCCGCTAGCTGGAGCAACACCGGCACATACCGGCACATTGTAGGTCGGAAGGAACACCGGCACGTTCAGCTTCAATGGTCATCACGGGTGTCGCTTGCTTCGTTTTGCTCCTTAAAAGCTAGCAATCGCAGCACTGCCCCGCAGAATCCTGAATCCGTGGGTAATTACACTCTGCATCGCTGGAGATTCCCACAACACAGGCTAATCGGCTAATCTTGCCTAATCCTCTCTCAGCTGCCCGAAACAGGCTCCAAGTTCTGTTATGCCCTACATCAGTCAGTAGATAATCACTTCTAGCATGTCTCGGAGCGACGCACATCCTTTTGCAAATTCGCAAAGGCTAGCGATGATCTGCACGCTGCAACGTTGCTCTTGCAATCATACAAGGCATTCACGAAAGTGCTTGCGCATCTCAAGCGGGGCAGCAGACCTTGGCATCGTGGGGGCGGCTGGGCAAGGTTATGTGTGCTCAGCCCAGATTCTCGCATCCTCGGGTGAGTACCAGCCAAGGCTGCCGGCTGCGCTTCACTGATACTGGCCTCGTGGATCGCAGGCCAATCAGAAAACAGTTGCTCAACCCCTTGCCGACACCTACGTTAGTTTCACAGTGACGAAGCCAGGCTCCCTCTCTCCGATGAATGTCACGCTGCGGCCTGAGTCTCTCGCCCTCCCATTGCGGTTTTTTGGTCTCTGGGAGTTGAGTGCATCCGATCATCCGAACAACCGTCTACCCCCGCGTCCCGCCTGGCCTGCAGCTTCGGCCTAGCAGAAGCAACTTCCAAGGGGGAAAAGTGCGCAAAGGACGCGCGTTGCGGACACGTGGTGACATCTTTGCCTGCCCGCGAGGCTCTTGCCGGTGCAAAGTCACCCCAGAAAAGATTCGCTGCACGAGGTTGCCCCGAGTACTCGGGAGTTCCTTCAAAAAGTCGCTGTGCACAACGGCACGTGTGCGCCGCCCTCCCTTCGGGTGGGCTTGGCCACACCATCGTGCGGACAGCTCGGCAAGATCACTTCAGCAGCTGAAGTACCTAAATAGGTTCCCACCGAGGCTTCGATGTGAAGCCTTGAGCCATATACCTATGTCATTGTGTCTGGCTGAGCAACAACTCCAAGAAACGACATCAGCACTAACTAGCTTCGGGCAGGAAGTCTGCAATTATTCTGTGCAGAGCAGGCTTCTCCTGGAAGGACTGTTGGGACTGAAACGAATCAAGCGGACTGCTGCGTCTGTTCTAGAGGGTAGCCCGGTCCCAGTTTCCGGAAACCATTACAACACAGGCTCGCAGCTCAAGGATGCTCAAAGCCCCGGCCCGACAAATCCCGTTGAGTCATCCTTGCTGGCGAATCGCAGAACTGCGCGACTGTTCAGTCACGGTTTGGGCCATCACAAGAGCTCGTCAGTAGCCTCAAGCAGCGGTAAGATTCATGCTCTCGCGGCATGACATGCCAAGCTCATCCACTTCTGCCACTCACGCCTCTGCGCTTCCTGGAAGGATGCTAATCAGCTTGCCCTCCCGCCTGCAGCAGCTCTGCTGATTGAAGCTTATCCCTGGGTCCCTCCTTCTAACACAAGGCGGCTCACTTCTTGCAGACTGGTTGGGTGTCAGACGGACCCGCATCACTGCTGTGAAGCTGAGTTGCCATGCGGGGGCAGTGTGGGTGAGTTCACGCAAGTACCACGCAAAAATCTACCCTACGACTCGGCATGTCCAAGCCGCAGAGTCTGGGACCTGTCTGCGGCCGCGCTCCCGACGCCTCCAAAAAGCGAGTGCTAGCACCAGCCCTGAGACGGTATCCGAAAAAGGTCCTACAAACGCGTTCACCGCTTGCCAGGCCTGCTTGGGCCGGGTCAGAGCCAGTGCAATGAAGCAGAAGCTTGAGGGCGCCCAGTTGAGAGTGCCTTGCAGCATGCGACAAGGAAACCGACAGCTTCTTCATGTTCTGGCACGCTAAGTCATTTACAACCCAAACGAAGCTACCCACATGGGGACGTCTTCAACGTGCAGTGAAGATTGAAAGGCAACACCAGTGGGCCAAACCCGCAGCACAACCAAACTACGTGGAAACAACCGGGCTGCAGGATTTCGATGGTCCCATCAATGTAATCGAGTTGGTTCGGTGCCCACTGGACCTCAGCGATCGTCTGTCACTCCACAGAGCAGGTACATACAAATCACAACGGCCTTTCAAGCAATGACTGTTTTCCCCCCATCATGCAAGCAGGGGGCAGCAACTTGGGCAAAGCTGAACAGGCTCCTTAAAGCAAAAGTAAGAGCACGCATGAGCATTGATCGTTCCATGCATGCAAGCGACATGACAAAGAACCTTGAACACTTGCATGATACCTCATGCCGGAGACATTGTCATTTCTTTGGTCTTCGAAACGAGCTCCGAGCAGGGAGCGAGCGAGCCAGCAATGCACGAGAAGCACTTTGTGTAAGTAAGGCTCGGCTCTGCCGTAGGGTCGGCGTGGCGGGCAGCCTGGATCAGTCCACATGTTCGTTACCGCTAACTGTGAAGGGTTGTTCTGTGTATGGTCACATCTGGTGTGTGTGTGTGTGGGTGCGCGCGCACGCGCGCACGCGCGTGCGCGCGTG